GTGTGTGTGTGTGTGTGTGTGTGTGTGTGTGTGTGTGTGTGTGTGTGTGTTGTCACTCATCTGTAGCTGCTGTGTCTCATCTGTAGGCACAGTGTAGGTCTCATCCACTGTCTCTCCTCCCCCTTCACCGTCACCAACCTGGTTTCAGTCAGATATCGTGGAGCACTGGTGAACGTTCTCCAACTCACGTCCACGTCCCCCTCTCTGGAAGTCTCTCATGTTGTTCCTGGACGACTTGGTACATGGTCATGGCTGCCATGTGTAGCTCCTTTTCGACCTTATCTTCTTTGGCCCTCTGTTTCTGCTGCAGCTGATCCTGGGCATGACTGGCATGACGTTGTAGTTCACTCAGACGAGCGTCTGTGTAGCCGACACAGAATGTCTTAGCTGCTGCTGCAATTTCAGGCCCTTCAGACCATTCAGAAAGCAGTTACTAAGATGTGTTTCCCACACACCAGGAGCATTGCCCAAATCAGCTGGTTGTTCCAGGCCACTATGAACATTAAACAGCTCTGTAAGACGGTGTAAATAATCCTCTGTTGATTCTCCCTCTTGTTGTCTGCAAGACGTGATTTTACTCATGTCCACTTTAGTGGGAAACTGATCACAAAACACAAGTCCCAGGGCTGTAACAGCGTCTCTGTATGGGGCGTTATCAACGTGATTCCAGTCACGCAGGTCATTTACTGGGAAATGACGAGTCACATGCTGGAGATCGACAGGTTTCATTTTTGTTGCTAACAGACGTTTCAGTTCAGTCATGGTGGGACGAAATTCAGTGCAGAAAATGGAGAGCTGTTCTGCAAATTTCTGTCCAGAAGCTGTTGGGTCCGGAAGATGTTGTGCTGCAGCAGTAGGGCCAGACACTTCAACCATGGGTAATGATAGTTCAGTATTGGAAGACGGGCCGGTGACTGCACTCATGTTATACGCAGCACCACTGTGCGTTGTCTGCGGCGATCGAAGGCCCAGAGAGACCGGTGGGTCGTATGGTCGGGGTTTGACGTCAAGGTCTGTCCTGAAGTTGGTGCGTGACAGACGGTCCGGGCCGTGGTAGTGCAGTCGGTGGGCAGGCTTCGGGGTGGGGGTCCAGCTTCAGAGCCGTACACTGTGGATACAGAGAACTGAGTGATAGATTACTGTTTTCTTTTTTACTGACAAGAGATTCTTTAGTCTTTCCTGATTTGGGCATTTCCTTAAACATTCT